TGTGAGGGTTATAGGATCCATATCGTTACAGGAGGCTGGAATCCTGGAGAGCAATAGTTTTTGTGCTAGACTTGGCTTGGTATTCCGACTCAGGGCCAGTGTCACACGGACATATGCCACACTCCTGGTGTCATACGAGAAAGACCTACATGCATGCAAATCGCTAGGTGCCTTGGAGCCTCAGGCGACAAGGACCTGTACGTACTGGATACGTACCGTTTCCCTTTGGCATAAGAAGGCCTTGAAGCGCAGCCTTCCTCTAGAGGTTGAGAGGATCAACAAGGCCGTCGAGACCGAAAGTAGTTTATTAGCTGAATTGAACTACTGTTTCAAGCCCAGAACTCTGCCCTTGTCACAGCCGGCTAGCCGGATTGACAAGATGATGCATGAATAAGAAAAGATGCTCCCAGTAGGACAGGCGCGGCCATGTCTGGGATCCAAAAGAAGAAAATCATCACCTTATATTATCTGCTATCTTGGGAGTGACCTTCGCAGCGGACAGGAACAAAGGGACCTTGACTCCTCGGCCGAAATTGTTACCACGCTAACAGTCAACGAGAAGGATTGGCGGTACTCAACATAAGCATGCATCTCTTCATGAAATAATCATCTCGAATCCGATAGAGCCATCTAACCTTTTCTTACCCAACTTCGTCCAGGACGAATTGACGTAGAATCCAGAGCATGATGCCAATGGGAATCGAGTTCGCGGGAATGTAAACGGCCCACACGAGCATTGGGCACTATAAATGACCATGGGCCGAATGAAAGGAGTAAGAAAGTAAAAAGAGAAATAAAAGAAGTAGAGGTAATGAGAGGAATGAAACCCGTTTTGGCGTTGTTGAAGTTAGGACTGTTAATCCAAGTACCATCCGCAGTTAGGGGCAGCCTCTCGCCGATTAGCAAAAAAGGTCTGGTTAGGAAAAGGGCAGCATATGCTGTTGTTTCCACTTACCTTCGGTGAAATTTGCTTATACTAGTTTGATAGTTCGCGGCTTTCACCTGGCGAATATTTCTTGTGACCGCCTATGACGGAGCATTTCCAACCCCTACTCGAGTATAGCCATCTTCGGGGCCCGTTCCTCCTCTGAGCAGAAGACCGTAAACATGGAAACAAGTTACGAGCCGTAGAAAATAGTGTCTACGCTTGCTCAGCAACTGGGAGACATCCGATGAATCGAGGTAGATACTCCCAAATACAACGCCGTCCCTTTTCAGGCCAGCAACCAGGTCACCAAATGGACCTGCTTGTATAGTTTGATCGTCAACATCAACCTTAACCAGCAGAGCACCGCTAAGAACAAGGGCCCCATATTCAAGCGCACCATATGGGTCCTGGTACTTAGGGATTCCTACCATCTCCTTGACCTTGAGATGTTAAGCAATCGTCCCTCCAGAGGAGAAAGTGAGATCCACCGCTAATTTGACTGATGCCCGGACCAAACTGAAGTCCACCGGTGACCTGACTGATGGCCACGACCAGCTCGGGGCTATATAGGCAGACTCAATAACAGTTTCAGACGCGGGCTTAGCGTCTGCAGCACAGTTTTCCAAAGGAGAACTTCGGGAATAAGCGAGCTCCATAAACCGCCAACATAGGTGGCGCCTTGATAGAACTCCTGGGCAGCTTGTGCTATTTGTTACGATCCAACCAAAGTTATGTAAGCTAGCTAGACAGATAGATCAATCAGGTTGGACCCGGGGACCCGAAGCCTTCGGGTCCAGGGAAGGGCAGTATAAAAGAAGGCCTCCTGGCTTTCGTTTATAAGGCTCTTCAGCAAGCAATAGCTATCACAATCTACCAGTACCTTTCGGCTACTACTCCGTTACTCTATTGTTCTATCCCAGCGATAATACTCCTGTGCTTCTAGCGGTTTGTCACACCAAGCTCGCCCCGGTAAGGTTTTGCCCGGCAAGTACATCGTCAAGTTCAGAGATGGCTCTGCCGATGCCACCCTGACCACAGCCGCTGGCAAGCACAAAGCAAACCACGTCTACAAGAGTGCCTTCAAGGGGTCCGCGGGTGCTTTCAGTACTGCCTCTGTTAAGGAAATCAGGAAGTTACCAGAGGTCTGTATCCTATCCCCTTACAAGCCATAACAGTTGTAAAGGCCGAACTGACGCATACTATCCACAGGTCGAGTACGTCAAAGAAGACGCCGTCATCACCATCGCTGATGGCTTCAACACCACAACCGGCGCCTTTCCCCACGCTATCGTCTCCCAGACGAACGCACCCTGGAACCTTGCCTGCCTGTCCAGCCACACCCCCGTATCCAGTGCCTACAAGTATGAAAGCACCGCCGGTAGCGGTACTTGCTCCTATATTGTCGATACGGGCATCATCACTACCCTCGCTGTAAGTTCAAGTTGTCAACCAACCCAACTTCAATAGCATCCCATTCGCCCAACAGTCCCGTACTTACATAGAAAACAACAGGAATTCTCTGGCCGCGCAGTCTTCGGCGCCAACTTCGCAAACGAGGGCAACACCGCTGACGGGAACGGGCACGGAACCTCCGTGGCAGCTGTTGTCGGCGGCACCACCTTCGGTGTAGCAAAGCTAACCAAGCTCATAGCCGTCAAGATCTTTGACGCAAGCGGCTCGGGAACTAAGTACGTATTTTCGTTCGTCTTTATCTCATTATCACACTGGAGTCACATCGTCATCGATGCTAACCCGCAATGTTATCAGCTCGGCAGTGATCGCCGCCCTCAACTGGATCGTAACCGACAAAGCCACCCGTGGCTGTCCCGCCGGTGTCTCTGCCGTGATCGCCGCCAGCGGCAGCTTCTCCTCGGCCTTGAACGCCGCGGTCAACAACCTTGTTGCTAACGGTGTTTTCACAGCGGCCGCTGCGGGCAGCGATGGCACCAACGTGGGG